CACGTCACTGTTCAAGGTTAAAAATAATCAGTCCAAATTTTTTTTTGTAACATGTATATATGCATGCTATATAAATCATTTCTAAAAAAAATTGTTTTTTCTCCTGAATTAACAATTGATTTTTAAAAATATAATCAAATTTTATAATACACTCAATTGAGTAAATCTTTTTAACAACTTTGTTTTGATTGGTTCATTTAGTTAAAGTGAATCATTAAAATTAATTAAGTTCTCAATATTTCAATTGTAGAATCTTTTCAAACATCAAAAGTTACTAGGAAATTATTACTATTACTTCTATTTCAGTTATATATTACCATAAAAATGCAAAAAAATATTGAGCTTTTCTGATAAATTTACAATAAATAGTAATTATAAAACTTTCTGACTGCATATTGATCTTAACGATACAATTTTTTTAATTGTCATAAAATTTTCTATTTAATTATGTCAATGTCAANATTTCATAAAATTTTCTATTTTATGATGTCAATGTCAAACTTACCAATTGAGCTAAAAGTTATGGTAAAATAATTTTTTTTTTTTTATTATAAACATTTACAAAATCAACTTTAANTTTTTTTTTTTATTATAAACATTTACAACAATCAACTGTAAACGATAAAAAAAATAGGTGAAATATGCCATTTTCCTTATTTTTAACTTATTAATAATCAAAATAAGTATTAATTTAAAACAATTTTTTTTGTTCTTAATTATTTTTTTTTATATGTAAATACTATTTTTTAATAATATTAAAACTTAGAAGTTATAGAAAAAGTCTAATTGCACATTTGAAAACATCGCGAAAAGTTGATTTAGAATAGTATATTTTTGTTTCTGATGGAAGTTCCTTGTAGTCCAGTGTATAAAACTTATAACTTTGTTAACTGTTATAACTTTATCAAAAATGACCAAATCAGTATATTTTTTTTTATTTAGATGCATGTCTTTATCTATCATTTGTTTTTTTTTTTATAAATCTAACCCTTTACCTGTTCTTACAGCTTGCGATTCTTCTCTCCTCATAACATGACTAAACAATCTAAGTCTATTTTCTGTCATCTTATCCACGATTCACGCAACACCTATACTTCCTCTTATATGCTCGTTCCTTATCCTATCTTCTCTAGTCACTCCACTAATCCAACTAAGCATTCTCAACTCTACTACACTTATTCTCTGCTCTACTTTCTTATCAACCGCCCAACACTATGAACCATACATCATAGCTGGCCTCACAATTTCATACTAAATTTAAAAACTATAATTAGTATTTATTCATATATTATATTTTAAAATCAAAGAACTACTAATCAGGATATAATTAAAGAAATAAGAGTTCATGTTGCTTTTAAAATATTTCACCAATTTCTCTAAAGGAAACACTATCTACAGATTTGCATCGAAGCGTTTCTTATGATAGTGATTTTAATCACTGTCAGATATCATCTATACTTGTCCCATCTATGCCTCGTTCACACTGTGCTACCGTTTTTTTTTTATTATTTATGCATTCTTAGACTACATTAAATACATATTTTTAGTTTAGATGCAAAGTTGAGAAATTATTAGTTTTACCACAATGCACGTATTTTAACTGATTTTAAATTTGGTGATCTATTAAATTCCCCACTGACAAATATTCATATTAAAAAAAACGGTAGCACAGTGTAGACGAGGCATAGATGGGACAAATATAGATGATATCTGACAGTGATTAAAATCACTATCATAAGAAACGCTTCGATGCAAATCTGTAGANAAGAAACGCTTCGATGAATGCATCTAAATAAAAAAAAAATATACTGATTTGGCCAATTTTGATAAAGTTATAACAGTTAACAAAGTTATAAGTTTTATACACTGGACTACAAGGAACTTTCATAAGAAACAAAAATGTACTTTTCTAAATCAACTATTCGCGATATTTTCAAATGTGCAATTATTTTTTTTTTATGTCTGTTACCACTTATTCTCAGCTCTCACCGAACCGATTTCTTTCAACGATACGTCAAAAGTTCAGAAATCGTATCTAGTCCAAGACATTAACCTCTAATATTGACAAAATTTCCCTCGTTCCCCGCAAAAGGGGGAAACCTCCAAAAAAATTATAAATTTAAAAAGTCACTAATTTTTTTTCTTAAAACTGCCATTACTTTTTCAAAAATTAACAAATCAATATAATTTTTTTTTTATGGATGCTTGATGTCGTTACCTATTATTTGGTATATTCGTTTTATAAATTTAATCCTATACCTGCTCACACAGGGGGATTTAAAATGACAACTTTTTCACATAAAATTAACTTTTTCAACTTACCTTGATATTGATTTTTGAAAAAGTTTTGTAAGTTTTAAGAAAAAAAAGTGAAAAAAATGACACAATTTACCGATTTTAAAAATTGTAATTTTTTGAGATATTTCTCCTGTTTGCGGGGAACGAGGGAAAATGTTTCTCTTATTAAGGGTAATGTCTTCTACTTCATACGATTTGTAATCTTTTGACGTATTGTTGAAAGAAATCGGTCCATTGAGAGCTAGAAAAAAGTGGCAACAGACATAAAAAAAAAACACATCCTGGTAAAATACCTTTTTAGCTTCGCATCGATACTAAAAAATGTATATAGAATTGCATACCATGTTTTTCTTAAATATCATTTGATGTGTTATAGTATAAAAAATTTTTATTTCGCGTAAAAAGTATATTTCTATTTAAATAATAATGAACCTTCGACAAATTAATTTTCTAGTAGTAAAGTACTACTATCTATAAAATTAATTATATGTATACACTATCATTTTAGAAATTTAAAAATAGTTTTATTATTATTTTTCCTGTAACTAATATATTAAAACTAATGACTATGCAAATAAATTTTTTTACTTTTGTACTTTATAATCTCTGTGCATAAATTAAATAGATTTATTTTTTATTATCTATATTTTATTTTATATGTAGGATTATTATTTATAAATATAAATCTTAAAAATATAAATATTAACTTAACAAAATTTTAAACGTTATATTATTTTTGAATTATATAAATGAAAAGCTATATGCTTTATCACGTTTTCCATGGTATAGTAAACATAATTTTTTTTCACTACTATAAAAGTACTGTATTTCTTCTTTGGAAAGAAATATAGATTTTGGCAAACATAACTAACTATCGTTTTCCAATCGTGCAATTATGGTGCGTCTATGAAATATTATCCTTAGCGTGAATGTTTAGTCTATAAGTTAGTTTTTTTGGTTACAATTTTTTGCTGTTTGATTTTGGTTCTGGCATAATTGACACTCCCTTTTTCTGGATCTGCAGACACTTACTTCGTGTCCGTATGTCTCACAAATTTGGTATTGAACTATTAACTTTTTGTTACGGAAACAATTTACAGTAATGTGGTTTGTCTTGTGGAAAATATTACATTTTCTGTATTTGGCGGACGTATTGCCATTAAATTTTTTTACTGTTATATTCCTTGATTTATAAAAATCACAGCACAGTGGTGAAGTGGCATAGCTGGGACATGTATATATATCTAACAGTGATTTTAATCATTATCATAAAAAACATTTCAATGCAAATCTGTAGATAGTGTTTAATTTTAAAAAATTGGTGGATTATTCCAAAAGGAACAGGATCTCATATTTCTTTATTTATACTCTAATTACAAGTTTTATGATTTATAAGTGTAATATAAGAATAAATATATAAAGAGAAATGGTTTTATTAAAAAAAAAAGTATGCCAAATGAAAGATGTATATAAATAGTATTTATCATAAAAAAATTGTATTGATCATTGAATAATGAAAATTAAAAATATAAAAAAAATTGTTTTCCAACACGTAAAATCAGTACCGCTGGTCATTAAAGTAATATTTGTTGTAATTATTAATCGACAGAGGCTCAATTCTGCTTATAGACGCGAGTTCGGAGACCTACTCATATATACTATAAGACAGATGGTCGTCCTGATGGTTTTAGGCGTGTTGTCGATCCGTCAATATTATTATCTCATGTAGAGAAATACGAGAATCACGATAAGCAGGTATTATACAACGCGTATCTTCCATACATCGTATTTCTACAGGCCGCTCGAATGAAATCATATCTCTAAGTTTCATATAAATTGATTGTGATTATATTCCAATTCCAAATTTAAATCAATTGAACATCCGATTATTTTATTATTTTCAGCAGTAAACGCTGTTCAAATTTGGTCGATTTCATTTATTAAACAATTAAGTTCAGAAAGATGTTCTACGTTGTTTAAACACCTTGTGGCTATCAAATGAATAGCACGAATACGATAGACAGATTTGTCACGCTTAAGGATAGGCTTTCTTTTGATGCGATTAATTCAAACTATATCTTGTTGTTCACCCATCACGGTTAAAATATTATAAACTTTTCAAAAAATACGTTATAATTATGTATACCCGTTAATAAATAAATATTATCACGCTTTCAGCTCTTACAGTTATATAAAGTTAACGTAGCTAATCAGCAACTAACTTCGTACAACTTTTAAATTTCTAATAAGAAAAGAAGTCTCTTTATAAGTTACGTTTATTAATTATGTTAGCTACATTTCTAAACTTTATATTTTAAAAGATACTTAAAAATTTAATATTCATTAGTGTTAATTACATTATAAGTGTCAGTGTATTTATATTGACAATAATATTTAATTTCAAGAACAAATATTAAAAATAATTCACAAGAAATGGCTTAAACCTATTAAAAAACACAGACGATAATCGTATACACTAGTTTACAGTAGTATACACTCGTAAACTAATTATAAAATAAAAAATTTTCATGTCATATACTTACAAAAAAAAATATTTCTTAAGAAAGTATAACGCCAAAAATTTAGTTAATAACACCAATAACATCTCAGATACGCATTAAATGTCAAGTTGCTTTATTTAAAAAATAATGAAATAATAGCCAACATAGATTAGAAAAATTAAAATTATATTATTTCAAAAAAAAAAAAAAAATTAATTAGGACAGCCGTTTTCAACAGCATAGTTGATTAAAAAAGTATATCCATTTTGAGTAGCTTCTTGGATGGTACCTCTACTCCATAGACAATTATTTTCATGTGCATATTTTAAGCAATGAAAATGACCATTTGCAGCAGCAAGTCTTGTTGTACTTTCGTCCCACTCACAACCATTTTCGTGAACATATTTTAAGCAGTCTAAATGGCCATTTGCAGCAGCTGCACTTTTTGTTCCTCTATCCCATTTACATCCATTTTTGTGTGCATACATCAAACATTCAATATTACCACTAGCAGCAGCTTCTCTAGCTGTGCCTTCGTCCCACTTACAACCATTTTCATGAGCATACATTAGACAATCTAAACGTCCATTTGCTGCAGCCGCTCTCGTGGTACCCTCAATCCAAACACTTCCATGATTATAAGCATATTTCAAGCAATCTAAATTACCATGCGCAGCAGCTGCAACTATCGTATCTGTATTCCAATAACATCTCTTTTCATGAGCATATATCAAGCATTCCAAACAGCCACTTGCCGCAGCAGCTCTAGTTGTAAATTCATTCCAAACACATCCATTTTCAAGGGCATATTGTAAAATTTCCATATAACCATGTATAGCAGCCATTGAAGTCGTATCTCTGTCCCACTCGCATTCATTCATATGTGCATATCTTAAAATACCTAGATTACCCATTACAGTGGCAGTTCTCATGATATTATGATTCCATTTACATCCATTTCTATGTGCATATATTAAACATTCTAGATTTCCATTCTGTGCTGCCATTCCAGTCGTATCTTCGTTCCACGGACACCCGTTTTCATGGGCATATTTTAAACATTCAAACTTACCATTAGATGCTGCTGCTTTTGTTGTTCTTTCATCCCAAGGACATCCATTTTCATGGGCATATTTTAAACATTCTAACTCACCATTAAAAGCAGCTGATAGTGTTGTAATTTTATTCCACTGACACCCATTTTCATGGGCATATTTTAAACATTCTAATTGACCATTAAAAGCAGCTGCTACTGTTGTGTTTTCATCCCAAGGACATCCATTTTCATGGGCATATTTTAAACATTCTAATTTACCATAAGAAGCAGCTTCTAATGTTGTGTTTTTGTCCCATGGACATCCATTTTCATGAGCATATTTTAAACATTCTAATTCACCATTAGAAGCTGCTGCTACTGTTGTGTTTTCATTCCACGGACATCCATTTTCATGGGCATATTTTAAGCATTCTAATCTACCATAAGACGCAGCTGCTTCTATTGTATTTTCATCCCAAGGACATCCATTTTCGTGGGCATATTTTAATATTTCTAGATAACAATGTGTAGCAGCTATTACAGTCGTATCTTTATTCCATTCATATTTATTAATATGTGCATATTTTAAAATGTCTAGATTACCCATTAGAACAGCAATTCTCGTAATATTATGATTCCATTTACATCCATTTTTATGTGCATATATTAAACATTCTAGATTTCCATTTTCTGCTGCAATTCCAGTCGTATATTCGTCCCATGGACATCCATTTTCATGGGCATATTTTAAACATTCTAACTTACCATTAGAAGCAGCTGCTTTAGTTGTATTTTCATCCCATGGACATCCATTTTCATGGGCATATTTTAAACATTCTAACTCACCATTAAAAGCAGCTGCTACTGTTGTACTTTCAGTCCACGGACATCCATTTTCATGGGCATATTTTAAACATTCTAATTTACCATTAGAAGCAGCTTCAATAATCGTATCTTCATTCCATTTACACCCATATTCATGAGCATATATTAAACACTCAATTTTACCATTAGATGCTGCTGCTTCTGTTGTGTTTTCATCCCAGGGACAATTATTTTCATGGGCATATTTTAGACATTCTAATTTATCATTAGATGCTGCTGCTTCTGTTGTGCTTTCATCCCATGGACATTTATTTTCATGGGCATATTTTAGACATTCTAATTTACCATTATATGCAGCTGCTTCTGTTGTTCTTTCATTCCACGGACATTTATTTTCATGGGCATATTTTAGACATTCTAATTTACCATTAGTAGCTGCTGCTTCTGTTGTGTTTTCATTCCACGGACATCCATTTTCATGGGCATATATTAAACATTCTAATTCACCATTATAAGCAGCTGAATTTGTTGTGCTTTCATCCCAGGGACATTTATTTTCATGTGCATATATTAAACATGCTAACTTTCCATTAGATGCTGCTGCTTCTGTTGTTCTTTCATTCCACGGACATTTATTTTCATGGGCATATTTTAGACATTCTAATTTACCATTAGTCGCTGCTGCTTCTGTCGTGCGTTCATCCCACGGGCAACAATTTTTATTGGCATATTTTAAACATTTTAACTTACCATTAAAAGCAGCTGCTACTGTTGTGATTTCATTCCACGGACACTCATTTTCATGGGCATATTTTAAACATTCTAGATTGCCATTTGCAGCAGCTTCAATGGCTGTATCTTCATTCCAGGGGCACCCTTTTTCATGGGCATATATTAAACATTCTAATTTACCATTAGAAGCTGCTGCTTCTATTGTATTTGCATCCCACGGACATCCATTTTCATGAGCATACTTTAAACATTCCAAATTACCATTTGCAGCAGCTTCAATAGTCGTATCTTCATCCCATTCACATCCATTTACATAAGCTTGTTTTAAAAAATCCAAGTCTCCATTTGCAGCTGCTTGTCTTGTATTATTTTCAAATTTGTATATTACATCGTCTTCTAAATTTTGTATCGCTGTATAAGGATAGTTATTAAATAATTTGTAATATATTAAAAATTATAATATTTTCATTTATAAAATTTATAGGAATCTATATATTAGCTTCGATGCGAAGTTGAGAAGTTATTAATTTTACCATGATGTGTTTATTTTTTTTTGTGTCTGTCACTACTTTTTCTCAACTCTCACTGGACCTATTTTTTCAACAATACGGCAAAAGATCATAAATTGTATCTAGTGGAAGACATTACCCCCAAATATTGAAAAAATTTCCCTCGTTCCTCGTAAATGGTGGAAATATCCAAAAAAATTACAAATTTAAAAATCGATAAATTTTATCATTTTTTTTCACTTTTTTTTCTTAAAACTTCCATAACTTTTTCAAAAATGAACAAATAAAACTAATATTTTTTTGTATTGAAACCTTAGATATTTCCCTTTCATTTGATATAATTTTTTTTGAAAATCTAACATCTTATTCTGCTCACTGGGGGGATTTAAAATAGTAACTTTTTTTTAAAAAATAACTTTTTCAACTTAATTTTTGAAAATGTTCCGGAAATACTGCGTCCTTTAAACATATACCAAAGTAAAGCTTATTTTATGTTCTATAAAATGAAAAAAAGTATGTCAAATAAAAAATGTACTTGTAGTGTATTTAGAAAAAAAAATTTGTGCTGATACTTACATTTTTCGAAAAGTTATAGCATTTTTAAGTTGAAAATTTAAAATCGAAAATTTTAACACAAAAATAGCGTTTTTTTAACTACGGCAGCCGCTTGTATGCAGAAGATAAAGTGTCGGGACAAATTTTTTTTTTTTCATTTTATAGTACATAAAATAAGCTTCAATTTGATATATGTTTAATGGCAACAGACATAAAAAAAAAAAAAAAAAACACATCATAGTAAAATTAATACCTTCTCAGCTTCGCATCGAAGCTAAAAAAATTTGTCCCGACACTTTATCTTCTGCATGCAAACGTCAGCCGTAGTTAAAAAAACTCTATTTTTGTGTTTAAATTTTCGATTTTAAATTTTCAACTTAAAAATGCTATAACTTTTCGAAAAATGTAAGTATTTAAAGTTACAAATTTTGGATTTAATATACAGGTATAATACACAAGGGATTACAAATACAGGTAGCTAATTGATTTTTTATGACATCGATATTAGCAGATATACAGCATTGTTATTATCAATGATAGTAAGGTACATTGTTATGAGTTTATAAATACACTAACTGACAATACAGAAAGTATATCTATTGATAATCATAATTGATAATATACAATCCGTGACTGTGACAGCAATGTCATAAAAAACCAATTAGCTACCTATATTTGTAATTCCTTGTGTATTATATCTGTATATTAACTCCAAAATTTGTAACTTTAAATGATTATATCTAATAAACGAATTAAGTTATATTAAAAATTCAAATGCCATTTACTATTAAATTAAAAACTCAAAAATTTTATTAAATTAAAAATATGTGTTACCATTTAAAAAAACAAAGATGACCGCCTTACAAGGCATAAGGGATGAATTTAAAAAATAATACATAGTTAAAAATTCAAGAATAATGTGTAACTAAAGATAATAAAAAAAAAAATTATTAAATGATTATTATTCTGTAAGTAATTGAGTGGGTTATGATAAACAAATCACCCTGTGTATATATATATATATATATATATGTGTATATAAAAGTTTCATTTTCTCCGGAACACTTTCAATAGTTAAGTTGAAAATGTTAATTATTTGTGAAAAAGTTGTCATTTTAAATCCCCTCCTGAGAGCAGGTAAAGGGTCAGATATATAAAAAAAATATATTTAAATGATATTCATGTATAATTAATAAAAATTATTTTATTTGATCATTTTTAAAAAAGTTATGGCAATTTTAAGTGAAATAATTTTAAAAAAATGTCAAAAATTAATATTTTTTAAATTTGTAATTTTTTAAAAATTTTCTTAATTTTTGAGGAACGAGGAAAATGTTTTCAATTTTTGAGTGTAATGTCTTCAACTAGAATCGATTTGTGATCTTTTATCGTATTGTTGAAAGAAATTGGTCCAGTGATAGCTGAGAAAAATTGGCAACAGACAAAAAAAAAACACATAAAACATGATAAAATTAAGGCTATAAAAGCTAAAAGTTGTGTGCAACTCATTGTAAAAATATATACTTTAAATTCAAAAATATAATAAATAAATCAATATTGTTAACTATAAATATGAAATTAGTACTTCAATATTGTTATAGTTATAAAACGACAGTTAGGTGGGATCGAGCGACAAAGTGTGGACGTGGCATACTTGGATCAAGCATAGATGATATCTGACAGTGATTAAAGTCAATATCATGAGAAACTCTTTGATGCAAACCTGTATATAGTTTATTATTTTTAGAAGGAATATTTTCTTTAAACTATTTGTATTATCTAATCTTAAACTAATATAAAAAAAATACTATATTAATCGATTTAATTAATAAACTAAAATAAAATTATAAATATATTTACTTAATTTAATTAAAATTAAATAAAACTATTAAACATAAATAATGAAAAATAGAATTTACCTTCATTAAATACCAAATAGAATATTTTCAACAAAAGAGATATTAATTGCCAATTCTATAATAAAATCAAATAATATATTAAATTTCAGTCACGTACTTTTAGTTAAATTTACTACTCACATTCATTTTTATTTGTTAATTTAAGTGTTTCATTCTAAATAACTACTGACATTATTTATTTCTACTTTCATGTTATATATAAAAAGAGTATTTTAATTGAATAGTAAAAATAATAAAATTATTATTTTTAGTTTATTTATACACATGTAAGAAACCAAAGCCGAATCAATATTTTATGAACACTTTTTTGATCTAATAAAATAAGCGAATTATTAATACAAATACAATTTAATTTTTTATATGATTATTATAAAATAAGATCAAACTGTACTTTAGGAAGTTTATGTAATATACTATAATATTAAAAATTTCGGACTTTATTTTCTTTTCATGGTGAAAACAGTCATCAAAAATAATAAAAAAAATATGATTTTTGTAAATAAATTATTTTTTATATTTTTAACTTTATAACGCTATAACTTTCTGAAAAAATATAATATATAATGTATGGATCACAAACATTTTTTTAAGATAATTACTATTTATATTCTTCTTTTATGCGACATAATATACCTCAAAGCGACGCAATTAAAATATATCTATCCATTAGCGGGTATTGCCCCGCCAGAAATACGGAGATACGTGGCCACATGTGATGTGTATTTGTGGGGCCACCTCAGTGAGGTGGCCCTATGGTTTTTTAATGCACCTCATTGAGGTTCCGCCACCTCTTTCATGCCACCTCCCTTATCAATAACAGATAAGATAAATTATATGTATAGGATGGTGTTCTATGTTGTTTATCAGTGAAGTAATTTTGATAACAGATTACAACAATACTCTTATCATATATTATAATATTTAATTTATTTATCTCTCTTATCATATTGATAAGTAGATATTTTTATAAATGAATGATATTATTAGTATGATCCCTTGTTTGATACTTCCTTTTTATGCCACCTCATTTTTACCTCCTCCTCCCATAAAAATCAACATTTTAAATCGTATCCTATTTAATATTATCCCCCTCTTATTATAAAAATTATCTATAAAACACGACCCATTGTGGAGATTTAATCATATTGTTTACCATTTTTTTCTTTCTCGTGCATATTCAGTTAAGTAAATAGTGTAGTATTATTATGAACATTATGAAAATGGCTGCAGGAGTGAAAGATGTTAAAATGACTATGCGATATCCATCTCAACCCGACTTTGCTGTACTAGAAACTTCTGTATTCAACTTAAGTTTTGCAGAGAGAAAATTTATTCACATCAGTTGCACATGGATAAACGACCGATACTCTCCTGTAATGATAATATTATCTCCAAGTATGTATTTATGGATGGATGTCGATATATTTATTAATTTTTTACAATTAATCGATGAAGTTATTTCATTTATGGATGAATCGTGTAAATCAAAAATTTATTTGAATTCCGTTTTTAACATTGTAAAATCGAAATGTTTCTCGAAAAGTTATCTATCAATATCGGGTAAAGGTAGCGAAGAAGAAAAAATGGGNTGAAATGTTTCTTGAAAAGTTATCTATCAATATCGGGTAAAGGTAGTGAAGAAGAAAAAATGGGGCATATATCATTGACCGAAGAAAATCTATATGCGTTGAAAGAAATGAAGTCATGTCTCCTGGAAGTAACCAAAGAGAAATATGAAACATGTAACTTATTGTACATGCAAAGTAAAGAAGTTTACGAAAAAGTAAAGGATTTGGTTATAAACAAGTTTTTAGTATTACCCGAAAATTTAATGTATTCCATCGTGAAAAGTATGGATATATCGTTATTGCCAAAGACATCAACAGCACTGTACAAAGAAATAGTTACCTTCCATTATAAATGTATCATTAAACGTATATGGGAACAATTCATTGAGGATTTCAAACATCAAACCAATCAGGATGTTAAGCAAATGACAAATGAAAATATAAGGTAGATATTTCACTAAATTGTTTATGCTAAAAATACTAAATAAAATTAAAATTTTTAGTAAAAACGATGACCAACAAGATCATTTGGAAAATCACAACGAAAATGTACAAGATGATAATGTTCACCGTATAAATAATGATTTATCTAATTCATTTTGATGAATACATTTGATATAATGCTGAATATTTATCATTATCGAAATCAATTTTTAAACTATCGTAAGGATATGATTCCGAATTCAAAAATACTTTGAGTGATATTAGAGAACTGTGATCGAATCTACTCATGTCAGCTGTTATTTTGTTTTTACGTTTAGTTTGAAATCCTATAATCACATATCTAGGTTTTTCCGTATCCGTTGATGTTTTAACGGCCTACGAATGTTTTGTAGTTTGTGGTAAATATGGATGTTCAAATAATTCCCAATTTCTAAAAGTGATGTAAAGTGGTTTACGAGAATCTAAAGTCTTTAATAGTTTCAATCTGACACTGTCCTCTAAGTTTATATGAGGCATTCTCCACATTATTTTCGAAATGTTTATATTTCCATTCGCTCGCTCACACTTTAATGCATTAATATCCACGCTGGATCTATGCAGTATTAATTCTTGTCGGGAATTTATTATTATTTTACGATTATCTTCCGCAAATCCCATAATTACTTTGAGAGGTATGCACACTTCGAATTTTTCTCTAGATTCACCACTTTCATTCCATCCGGCATTTTGGTATCGGTAAAGGTTTGACGTTTGAAAAGACGCATAACCTTTCATACATGTTGTAATACCAGGATTTCTTACTTTATTAATTTCAACAGAGTTTAATTCGTAACGAATTTCATCAAATAGGAACATAATACCATTGTTTATTAATTTTATAGAAGCTTCTTCATTACCTGTTTCTATATTTCTTTCAACTTCACCTTCGATGTGTAACAAAGATTCGCTGGGGAGAGTATTATCTTCGATGCGAAGCTGAGAAGGTATTAATTTTACTATGATGAGTTTTTTTTTTTTTTTATGTCTGTTACCACTTTTTCTCAGCTCTCACTGAACCGATTTCTTTCAAAAATACGTAAAAAGATCACAAATCGTATCTAGTTGAAGACATTACCCTTAAAAATTGAAAAAAATACTCTCGTTCCCCGCAAATGGGGGAAATATCCAAAAAAATTACAAATTTAAAAATCGCTAATTTTCGAAATTTTTTCACTTTTTTTTCTTAAAACTTCTATAACTTTTTGAAAAATCAACAAATCAACATAATTTTTTTTTATACTAAAACCTTAAATATCTACCTTTCATTTTATATAATTTTTTTGAAAATTTATCACTTATTCTGCTCACTGGAGGGATTTAAAATAGTAACTTTTTTACAAAAAATAACTTTTTCAACTTAATTTTTGAAAATGTTCCGGATATACTGCGTCCTTTAAACATATATCAAATTAAAGCTTATTTTATGTACTACAAAATGAAAAAAAAAAATTTGTCCCGACGATCTATCTTCTATACGCAAATGGCTACCATATTGAAAAATATACTATTTTTGTATGATAATTATGGGTTTTGTATTTTATTTTAATAGAAGTTGATGTTGCTTTTGCAATTATCCATCAATTTTTTAAAATTAAACACTATCTACAGATTTGCATCGAAGCGTTTCTTATGATAGTGATTTTAATCACTGTCAGATTAAATCTATACTGGACCCAACTATGCAATGTCTCCACTATGCCGCGACCCCACTGTGCTACCGTTATATAAATACCGGTATATAAATCTTGATGTTGTATCTCAATTCGTATTTCATCGTTATTCGACAGCGCGTTACTAGAAAATGGTTGATACGAATGGTATTCAAATTTTGTTATACTTTCTTCGAAGTACGGTTTTTCGTGTATGTTCAGAATATCTTCCATTGCGATTTTGAAGTGTATAACCAAGATTTAAAAGTGTAGTCAAGCTCTCCCTTTTTTATCCGAGAGATATTTACCTATATCATCTAACTCGTACGATCCTATTGGTATTGATAAATCAATAATGGAATTATTAACAGACGTTGAACTTTGAAGGTAATCGTTATAGGTTAAAACACGAAAAGAATTATTTTTTTCACTAACATTTGGTTTAGAGTTGCAAGCTTGTAAACTCAAAAGTGCTAATTTTGCCGTTCCATCTAATTCAATAGGTGGGAAAAAGGTACTGATCATTCTAGACTGGTTACCTTGAAAAGATAACGTTAAAGAGCGTTGCATCGTTCCAGTAAAAATTTCAAACACAATTGTCCACACACGAACGTATTGAATTCTTGAACACGAGTGTAATTAAATTTTATACTACATCCTTTTAAATAGGAGCGTAATTCTAAAGGCGGTGGTAAGTTACCAAACGAATCGAAATAAAAAACGGTTTTATTTTTTTTATAATATGCTACCCAGTGCGTGCCTTCACCCGTATCATCATCCAAATTCACGACAGCACATTCAATCGTTCGTGGTGTTTTAGGTAACTTATCTCGTGAAAAAATATTACGAAAATGAGATAGTTTTAATAGTCTTGCATATTTTATAATATCATCGCTGTTTAGCGGGCGATCACTGGGTAGCATATGATTTAGTTTTTTTGAAATGGTTTCAAATATAATGATGATCCTCTTTTTGCGAGCATACCTCCACCGATTTTAACTGGACTTTTTGAATCCTTATTTTTTCTTACTTCATTTACCGCTTTGATTATATTAGCGGTACCACCTGCCAACGAGCCTAGAGCAGAAAGACCTGCGAAAATAGGAATCAAGGGAAGCACTCCACCAAATTTCGGTATTTTTATAGTATGAGGAGTACTAGGTTAGCGAACAGAGTTTTTAAATGTTTTTTTAGCCGCTGCAAGTGTAATTATACTTGCTTTCTTCGCACTTTTACCTTTCATTTTTCGCATCGTCTTTCGACTCGAACTAACGATCGAGTTAAAATTTATTCCCGTCCCGAGTTTACGTTTCGCTTTCATGATATTGGTAGTTGCGTAAGCCGCTACTTTTTCTCCGAACGTACTATCTTTTGCTTTAACACGTTCCCAAGCTCGATTTTGTAAAACGTAATCGGCTTTATGACGATTCTTAATGTCTTTATATTTACTATATGCTATATCGTGTTCTCGTGCTGCTGCATCCAGCGGATTTTTACCAGGGTCACCACGAGCCAATCGCTTTTCTAACCGCGTGCCGGGTCCTAGATATTGATACGTTGGCCAATGAACTTCTACGGGAAGATTATTTATAAGAGAATTAACTAAACCGTTTCCGCGTTTATTAATGTTAGATCGTCGACGTCGAATCATCGTTTAAAACGGTGTAATTGTTACATCAATCTTTTATACGTAATGTTTTTCGAAGCGCAAACATGTAAGTTACCAGTNCTTTTCGAAGCGCAAACATGTATGTTACCGGTTTCTAACGTCGACTTGGATAAATCTGTGTCAAAACGAATGAAACACAGTCTTTTGCTACCCGATAATATACGTTGTATAATTTGTGGACCGTCTAATTGCAGTAAAACAAACGCAGGCACGTAGACAAGGGTGGGCCTGGGTGGGCCTGGCCCCCCTTAAATTTAATGTGGCCCAGAGCCGGCCCCCCCAAATTTAAAATTCAATTATTTTTACGAATTATTAAAAACGTGCTAGGCCTTATATACATTGAAATTATTATTAATTTGTGATTACTATTGAGTAATACAGTTATTATTATGGCTGTATTTTCATTTTTATATTCATAGAAAACGTTATTTGAAAAAGATAATGTTCTAGACGTAATAATAAATGGAATAGCAATTACTCCAAACGTGGTTGTAGGTAAATTTTTTTTAACTCTGTTCTAACAAATGATAACAAACTACCAAGTATCTGCATTGATTAGAATCTATTTGATTACAAAATTCGATAGAGTATACTCTATGAAAAATTTTTTGATAAATCATATCTTTAATTTGTTTCTTTTAGCTTCGATGCGAAGCTGAGAAGGTATTGGTTTTACTAAGATGTGTTTTTTTTTTT